AGCTAGCTGAGCAAAATACCAGATTAAAATTGATGATTGTGCAGAGCATTCAGATCTGCTTGACACATATTCAGAATCCTTTGGTTTAATGTTAATTCATGAGGGAATTAAAAGACAGTTGCAGCGAAGAAAAGTTTCTTTTCGACGAAGTCACAGTCAACTAGGAGGCTGTACATTGGTGTATTTATAATAAATGGGTAGGAAAGTTCTAGAATAATTTCTGGTCAAGGGTCAAATTAATAGAATTACAATTAGGAATTATAATGCCATAATAAACAGGGGGACGATTAAAGCTCATAATGAAATCCTCCATACAGTCAAACAAAATCCCTACAAAATCAATACTTGAAAATAAATCTAATGTTCACTAGTGACTGGCCCTATTCAAGGAGTTAACCTGGGGTTCTAGTGGGAAGCCGTGACCAGTAGGGTACAGCAGGTTGAAGATGAGGCAGTAACTCATCGAAGAAAACACTGCAAAATGGTCTCGTTATGTTGTGGATTGGCAGAAGTTAGAATTCAAGGGCCATTGGATCGGGTCCCAGTGGCTCAATGGTCTACGAGCTCGCCTTATAACCAGAAGGTCCTGGGTTCGAACCCTGGCGGGTGTTTACTGCTGGAGAGTACCAAACTAGGACAAAATAGCTGTCCAGTACTTCCTGGTAGGTTTCCAAATGGTTCTCTAACTGATGTCAGTTCATGATTGAAATCCCCCTGTAACAACAGAAGACAAGGGCGAAGCAACAGATCGTTTTATTATGAAAATCAACACGTATTTATACATATTTCAGACAACATTATTATAGACAAGCGCAGTCATCTGATTGGTTGTTTAGGTAGACAAACGCAGGCTTCTGATTGGTTGTTTCGGGATTCCTTGACAAACAGAGTTCTCTATCTGCGAATCATATTTTGCCACGTTAACTTCGCTGTGATTGGTTGTTGACTCAGCCTTGTTCACGGCCCATATTAGTGACCTAGACCTTAACGTAGATTAGTGCCAACCAATCGGCTAGCAGCCTGCTCTCACCACACTCGTCCCCCCGTCAAATACGTGCGACTGAAGTCGGCTTGATCTACTTGGTGCAGGCGTCATCGTTGGCTTGTCTCGCTGTATCCATTTCTGGAGCTCGCTGACGTTCACGCGCCTCTTATTGTTCGCCATTGCGACTGTGTCTGCGTAACCCCATCTCGAAGTGACCATATATGGTCCTTCCCACTTTGGAAACTGTTTGCCTGACCCTGTCGAACATTCGTCCATACTTCGGCTCACACTTTCATATGCTGCTTTCACCCGACCTCCCAGCAGCGTCCCAAGTAGCAGCTCCATCGCTGACAGATCTTGAACGCCACTCAACTGCGCAGAAGCCTTGAAGTCCTGCCCGAAGATCCATATGTCTCCATCAAAAACAGCAGGGCATAGGCTTTCCATTTGTCGGTAGGCAGCGACACCAAATGTAACAACAGAAGACAAGGGCCAGGCAACAGATCGTTTTATTATGAAAATCAACACGTATTTATACATATTTCAGACAACATTATTATAGACAAGCGCAGTCATCTGATTGGTTGTTTAGGTAGACAAACGCAGGCTTCTGATTGGTTGTTTCGGGATTCCTTGACAAACAGAGTTCTCTATCTGCGAATCATATTTTGCCACGTTAACTTCGCTGTGATTGGTTGTTGACTCAGCCTTGTTCACGGCCCATATTAGTGACCTAGACCTTAACGTAGATTAGTGCCAACCAATCGGCTAGCAGCCTGCTCTCACCACACTCGTCCCCCCGTCAAATACGTGCGACTGAAGTCGGCTTGATCTACTTGGTGCAGGCGTCATCGTTGGCTTGTCTCGCTGTATCCATTTCTGGAGCTCGCTGACGTTCACGCGCCTCTTATTGTTCGCCATTGCGACTGTGTCTGCGTAACCCCATCTCGAAGTGACCATATATGGTCCTTCCCACTTTGGAAACTGTTTGCCTGACCCTGTCGAACATTCGTCCATACTTCGGCTCACACTTTCATATGCTGCTTTCACCCGACCTCCCAGCAGCGTCCCAAGTAGCAGCTCCATCGCTGACAGATCTTGAACGCCACTCAACTGCGCAGAAGCCTTGAAGTCCTGCCCGAAGATCCATATGTCTCCATCAAAAACAGCAGGGCATAGGCTTTCCATTTGTCGGTAGGCAGCGACACCAAATGTAACAACAGAAGACAAGGGCCAGGCAACAGATCGTTTTATTATGAAAATCAACACGTATTTATACATATTTCAGACAACATTATTATAGACAAGCGCAGTCATCTGATTGGTTGTTTAGGTAGACAAACGCAGGCTTCTGATTGGTTGTTTCGGGATTCCTTGACAAACAGAGTTCTCTATCTGCGAATCATATTTTGCCACGTTAACTTCGCTGTGATTGGTTGTTGACTCAGCCTTGTTCACGGCCCATATTAGTGACCTAGACCTTAACGTAGATTAGTGCCAACCAATCGGCTAGCAGCCTGCTCTCACCACACCCCAACCAATCAAATAAAAATCCCTACAAAACCAATACTTGAGAATAACGCTCAGACAAAGTAGCATCATAACTGCTGAGAAGATTGAAATATTGTGCAATTAGGAGTTAAAAATGTAGAAATAACAACAATAGACAGGATATTTGGATAAGAGAATCTAGTGGGATCCTGACTAATGCGACGAATAATTGTTTATGCAATCAGGGATTAAATATGCAGAAATAATAAAATGACCAAATAGGCAGGAAGTTCAGATATGAAAATATGGCAGCGTAAATAAGAGGGATTCAGAAAGACTTAAAAGTGACATGAACAAACACGAAGTTTGGATAAGAAAGTCAATGAGATGGTCACTATTAGAAGAATTACCTGTTTGTAATGGCAATAGCAGGGGCAAAGGTTGGACGTATTTCTTTTGGATACAAGATTCAGTCACAGTCATCAAAGGGAGTAAAATTAAGACATCTGGGGGCATAGCCGAGGCACTAGCCATCCAATAGCTCAAATCCACGCTTTTTATCTAAAAGAAATACGTTCATACCTATTCCCTACCATGGTCATCATAAACAGGTAATTCTCCTAATATTGACTATCCCACTGACTTTTTTATCCAAACTTCCTGTATATTCATGTCACTTTTAAAGTCTTTCTTAATCCCTCTTATTTACACTGCCATATTTTCATATCCGAACTTCCTGCCTATTTGGTCATTTTATTATTTCTGCATGTTTAATCCCTGACTGCATAAACAATTATTCATCACATTAGTTATGATCCCACTAGATTCTCTTATCCAAACATCCTGTCTGTTGTGTATATTCCATGAGTTGATTCATGAGTGAAACATTAGAGACTAATTGATGCATATTTCTGTGAAATATGTTTTAAAACCTTCAAATTGTATTTACTCCTTATTTATTGATTTGTCTATGAGCATTTGTATGTTATACCTCCATCAATTAATTGATCCTATATTCTTTTGTTTTTAGCTGATTCATATAGCTCGTCACATTACTTGGCTAACACGTTATTTCATGTGGTGTTATAAATCTATAAAATAACATCATTATTACTTTATTTTTTCTCTAAAGCGCACTTTGATTACTATGAGGTAGTTTGAGTATGTTAATCACTTCATCACTTGTTTGAGAAGTTGTATCGGCTTTAAACGAATCAATTGATTGCTGACAAAATCTTAGTGTGGCATCATCTTAGTGAGGTGTGTCATATCCAGCCATACATTGAAAAAATGTTCGTAGTATGCAGCAAATATTCCCCTGTGATGCTCTGCAGATGTAATAGATGATTAGTGAAAGTGGAAGATATGAAGAGTCCAGCAGATTCTGGACCATTACTGTTGTCTACTTTCAATCACTTGTGTTAGATGGTTCTGTAGAGACTGTATAATTTCCTCAGGTGGATCACTAGCCTCACGCCAAACATTACCTCTTTTCCCTAGGCTTCGACTGCAACACTGGGTGACCCGGGTATGAATTTAAGAGGGAATATGATTTCCTTCAAGGCTGAAGATATGTCTCACCAACGAGCAACACCCTTAAACGATGTTCAGGACTTCTTAATGACTAACTCTTACTATTTGATAAATACGTTCCTCGTTTACACCGAATTTTAATTCAAAACTGATGATGTCTTAAAAGTGTATTTGGAATTGTGGCTAGTTGGCTTAATCAGTTCACTATCAGCCATGTGGTCATTGGTTCGAGTCCCCACCCATCTCCCAAATATATATATATATATCAGTTAGAGAACCACAATGGAAGACCTTCGGGTACTGGAAAGCTGTTCCATCCTAGTTTACGACTATTAGGCATTACACACCGACCACCAAGGTTTCAAAACAGGACCTTTCGATTGCGAGGCTGGCTCGTAGACCATTAACCCACTGGGACCGAACCCAGTCGTTCATGAATTTCAACTTTTACCAATTCGTGATGTATATATACACACATTTAGCGTAACCACCCCCTAGTATTACAGGTGAGCAACTTTCCTCTTGCCTGGTTTGCTCGACCCCACTAGTTACAACTTTTCACTAGAACCCCCGGTAACTTCATGGCGGTTGCGCTAAGTATATGTATATCACGAATTGGTAAAAGCTGAAATTCATGGACTATAGGATTGGGTCCCTGAGTTCGAACCTCGGTTGTTGGATCTGTTGTGCTGAAAAGTCCTAATCTAGAACAATCCAACGCTTCTTCAAGTGATGTCAGCCCGTGATGATATAGTGCAACCAGTCAAATCCTTGCAAACCAACAAGTTATATATATATATATGCATGTTAATAAGCAAAGGTTTTCAAAAATGCATTTCAACAATTTTGAATTTAGATGGTCTGAAATGCCGATATACATACCTTCTTGATTTTCTGTTCAATCCCCTTTTGTTATTATGTCAATTATAACACTATTGTTATTTATGGCCACCACCCTATAGGCACTGTTTTTATCCTTCTTCGTCTTAAGCTTAAGCACTAATTTATATTCCGGATCAAAGGAGTCTCTTAACTCCAACATGGATCGTGACAGTACCCTAAGGGTTCCTAATGTAAGTATAATTTTCAATTTACTTGTATATGTAACCAAATAATTGATCGCGTAATTGACGTATCGGTTGATTAGAGACGTTTTGTCATTCCTTTGCGTTTTTTTTAGCAAAACATAAGAACTCTAGCATTTTCTGAAAGTTCACTAGTGGTAGTGTTATCTTTTTACATGGTATGTTTTCTGACCGCATATCTACTAGTAGGCTTCTACTAGTATCCGCTAGGTGGGGTTTAGAAGTACATCGGACGGTGAGGTGAGAATTGTTGTGGGAGATTCAATCAATTAACCATCGATGCACCATTTAGTAAACCTACTCCATTTAAAAAAACTTTAAACACAAAATACTTACCATTATCTGCTGTTAAGCAGATGAACTCCTATGTGATTAAAGAAAACGAAAACAATAAAACATTTCAGAGAAGAACATCTCCAATATAGAAGAAGTCATCTCCAAGGGCTGCACAGTCATAGTTATATTTTTACCGTGAAACACACAGTAGTCTAGAATTGAGTAATGATGGAGTGTGACATGACCTATATAGTTTCAGGATTTCATCAGGAGCTGACATTGGTTAGAGAACCACTGGAATACCTGAGAGTACTGGACAGCTGTTTCGTCAGACTAGTTTGGGTCTCTTCATCAGTACTCACCCACCACTACAGTTCAAACCCATTACCTTCTGGTTTCAAGGCCAGCGAGCTCGTAGACCATTAAGCCACTGGGACCCGATCCAATGGTCCTTGAATTCTTACTTCTGCCAATTTAAGACATAGCGCGACCACTAGACAATGTCTTTGGCGAGTATTTGTCTTCACACCTGACTTTTCCTATTCAGGTAGGTAGTTACCTGGGGTTCTAGTGAGAAGTCATGACCAGTAGGCTGCAGCAGGTTGGGTGTGAGGACAAATACTCGCCAAAGACATTGCCTAGCGGTTGCGCTATGTCATAAATTGGCAGAAGTTAGAATTCATGCATTGACTGGCCATTGGATCGGGTCCCAGTGGCTTAATGGCATACGAGCTCGCCTTGTAACCAGAAGGTCCTGGATTAGAACCTCGGGGGTGAGTACTGATGAAGAGTCCAAAGCTTTGGGACGAAATAGCTGTCCAGTACTCCCAGGTTTTCCAATGGTTCTCTAACTAATGTCAGCTCATGTTAAAATCCCATAACCAATCAAATCCCTACAAACCGAGAATTCTGTAGTTATTGAGACTGGATTATAAAGGCAAAATGTTAAAACAAACCACTTCTAAGTAGTCGATCCAGATTATGTGTTATACACACACACGTCTACTGTGTTGTAGTAATACATTACTCTAAGTGTTTACTAAATATGGATATGATTGTATAACCTTCGAAGATAACTTCATTGATAGACAAAAGCGTTTCTTCACTGAAGTATATGTTTGTTGAGTTGATAGCAATAACCAACTAGGAACACAGTATTCAGCGACGAGACCCTCACCAGGAACGAATTTATTATCAAGGTGTACAATCTTATATATATGGTTTTCAAGAAATTATATCCGGTGAGGGAATTAAATAAAAGGTGTGAATATATGAAATAATAATAATAGTAGTATGAAATGTAATTAAAATGTTTATAATTATAATCATAGTTAAATAGCAAGTGCCAAGTGATAAAACAATTAATGTCATTTATAGAATAATACATAAGGTGTATAGATGTTGGAAAGGGGCACATAATTATAGGAATGAATGAATTAATTAATTAATTAAAAGGAATGAATTATGAATTAAAAGTCAATCTGAACGAAGAATATTCTTTTCAATAATTTTTCTTAAGGTTCTTACAATTATAAAATATAATATTTGTGGTCGTTACAATAAAGGTAGCCAGGTATGCGGCGGATACATTTTTTAACGTAGAATAACAGATTAGTAGTTATGGTGTGTCAAAATAAATAGTCGTATTTGTGTGACAAACGTGCTCTGGGCTGAAATCGATTACAAGATATTGTAAAACGGGAGACAATATTGGTGATTAGTCATTATAGATTTGTAGAGTGTGGGGCAGGAAAATCGACAAGTCAGTTCAAGGTTATAAAAGGTGTCAGGTGAGTTAGTGGCTAGTACAAAGTGGTCTGTGTTAAACAGGAGATAGTAAGACTGCAATGAGAGGTTCATAATGAAATAACGAATATGTGAAATAAAACAAGTGAAGGCATATATTTTAAAAGAGATAATATCACTAATAATAAGTCCGTATAAATGAAAATTTCGATAGTATTGAGGGAATGTTTGCATGAAGGGCATAAATTATGACAAATAATAATAATATTTGTATTAATAAAAAAGGAAAAAAAACCAAGACGGTTAACGGGAAGGATTACTCTTGGTGAGAAGAAGAAGAAGCATCAATCCAAGTTTGGCCAAGGTAGGAACAGCGTCTGGACGTTTTCACTTTGGGTACAAAGTTCCGCGGTTCAGTTGATCTCATTGCAACAGCTTCAGCTATGTGTAGGAGACGTAAGCGAACTGTACGTGATAACGACTTTGGAATTCGATATATAACCCTGAAAGCTGTGTTGACATCAATACGATGTCCAGTATCGACCAAGTGTGACAGGATTGAGCTTTTTATGCATTTGAAGAGAAATTATTGAAAAGAATATTCTTCGTTCAGATTGACACAATTGTGGGATTAGTAGGCGAATATAAAATGTTGCATAACATAGTATGAAATTTGATAAGATAGAATTCAATATTGTAAAAAAATGATTTGGATATATAATGGCAAGTGGAACAAGCGGAAACAGATCAAAGTGAGAGTAATAATAATAACAACCGTAGTAATAAGGGAAGGGTAGATAGAATAATAAATAAACAAAATAAATAAACGTTTATCTATTTACGGCCAGAGCAGAAGTAGGGATTGTAAATACTTCTTTTGTACACAAAGGTCTGGCTTAAAGCCATGAATTGCCAAGACCTCCGTTGTCTTTATAAGTGTGCAACGAAGAAAACGTGGAAAGTTGGTTAGCATGGATTCAGTTGTTGATCTTAAAAACATGGTCAAGGTTGGCAGAGTGACAGCAGTGGACCAGTTGTTCTAGAATAGACCTTCGCACAAACTTCCTTTCTCCCTTGTAAAACCATGCAGATGGAATATGTTCTCGTATCCGTGTGGAAAGCGGTGTCCTCTGGCCACGGCCAGTTTACCTTGCTCCATAAGAGAAGCAGGTGAACTGACAGAAGCACATGGAGGTGGTCAGACGGTGGAGCTTATCTTTTACAGAGATGGAGAACATATGAATGGCGTATGAATCTTAACTTCTACCAGTTAGTGCCCTTAGCAACAGCTAATGTCATCAGCGAGTATTTATACTCCACTTTGAACCGGATAAACCCAACTGGTCACGATTGACGAGAAAAAAGCAGCTGTCCAGTACTCCGCACCGTTTGTCAGTGGTTCTCTAACTGATATCACTTCGTGATCCACCTTGAAATAAATCAAACCGCTATAAACAAACTATTTTACTATTTAATCTTATTCTACGTTACCACTTGAACTAATTCAACTTCACTTCATCTTCGTCATCATTTATTGTTATCCTCAGCTCACTCTTGATTATTTTAAGAAACATTAGACTTAAAGTCATTTGGTTGATGGTGACTAGCACTGGAGTCCAGGATGTGCATTTCATCCTATTTGGGACTTGCTATCTGAATGCGCCTGCACTCCTCCTTAATTAATTAATGATACACGTTGCACAAGAAAGAGGTGGCTGCCGTGGCCCAAGTGGTCTGCTTCATTAATAAATACTCTAAAGAAATTAGCCCCTGAAAAACTATCCAAACAGTTCCGAAGAAATCTGTCTATATCAGTTTGCCATTCAAAGGAGATGATATACGGGAAGTAGTCAAACGAAGACTCGATAAAGCCATCAAGAGAACTTATTATGCTGTAAAACTTGTTATCCTTAACACTACCAAGCGAGTTCTTTAACAGTCTGGGAAAGACCAGTCGCCAATCCTCGACACTTCAAACTGCGTATATCAATTTGAGTGTGTTTGTGGAAGCAGTTACATAGGTCTTACAGGAAGGCGATTGTCTGTCTACTCACATGATGGAGCATTTGCCAAAATGGTTGAAGACAGCTGAATGCAAAGTGCCAAAATCCTCAATAACAAAACATCTCGTGGACTACGGACATGATATCGACGCTTTCAAGTCATTCACACTGTTGTCAGCAGACAAGGAAACAAGAAAATGCTTGCAATTCTGGGGGAGGCTTGTGAAATTCGAGTTTATAAACCAGGTCTCTGTGTACAAAAAGAGATGGTCGTGACTCTGAATCTACCATGGTAATACGTTTTACTTATTATTCTACCTCTTATCATTATTATTATTATTCTGAATTCATTTAAAACTATCCTTCATCAGTAGAATTATCTTAACTCACTTCAACACTATTGTTATTATTGTTATCATAACTATCACTATTGATATTGCTCTGTTTGCAATTCTCGTTATATTCCTTAATGACTAATTGTTTATCTAAGTGATGCAACTGAAGCGTAATGCAATTTATCTTAATTTTGATCTCTCATACTCTCTTCCCCCGTTATCTTTTTGAACATGACCTGGAAAACATTCTCACCTGTCTTTCTGCATGACTAATTCAATGTAGGTTGTTTACTTATGAGTCTCATATCTCCCAATGTAATTTCAAAAGTATATATATCCGTGTATGTAGAGTATTCAGCTGACGAGTTCTACCAAAATGTGACGAATTCATTGAATCGTGCTTTATTAATCTTTGTGGCTTTTTTTAAATTTGTATCGTTAAATAAATGTTTTCAATGCTTTGGCGTTTGAGACTATTGTCACTAGGTTCGAGCGGTTCTGTGGCGGCACCATCCCTCACTGGATAATACAGGTGGGTCAAGTTGATGAGTCCGCAGCAGGACGAAACACGCATCCTGGATTCTTCTGCTAATTACCATCAACAATTGATTTCAAGTTATATGACAGGACATCGTTGAAGCATCTGTACAAGCAGCCTACATGTCAACCTTGGACCGTAATTTATCCAATTTCGTAATTTAATGCCATCACCATGCATAATATAAATACGACTGTACAGTTGGTTGAAAATAAAGTCATTGAAAAGAGATATTTCTTCTCTGAATGAAAACTGTGTTTTTTCTTCTTATGAACATCATTACTGAATAATCTTACAATAGGATTAAATGTGTTGCTTCTCTTTTTTTTCTTACCCATCTGTTTTCTCCTTCAAAAATTTAGAGTCGAGTAAGTTTCATTCTAATGAGTACAATAGAATGAATTTCTGTTACAATACTCATATATTCAAGTATTTGTTTTGCAGGGATTTGGTTAATTTGAAGGATTTCATGATGTATTCACATTGGTTAGAGAACTGCTGGAAAACCAGTGTGGAGAACTGAACAACTGGACTAGCTGCTTCGTCTTAATTTTGGACTCCTCACAGTAAGAACTCATCGGCATGGGTAGGGTCTAAAAGGTCGGCTGTGAGGACAAATACTTGCCAATGACACCAGCCAGGTGTTAGTCACGATATATTGTAAATTCTTTGAAGTTGGAACTCCTGGGCTAGTGGTTCCTAGCCCAGTGACTGAACGGTCTACGAGCCTAACGTGTAACCTAAAGGTCCTAGATTTGAATGAATTTCAGTGGGTGAGTACTGCGAGAAGTCCCAAACAAAGATGAAACAGACAGCTGTCCAGCCGTGTTCCGGTGATTCTCTAAACAATTTCAACTCATTATATCACTCCTGAAACATATTTATTCATTGGGGTAATGTTGGCAAACGCGATTGCATGTAACGTCATCTCCAAATGAAGTTTCTTTATAAGGGATCTGTCCCCACGCGACGAATGTCTAAGAAAAACACATACATAAATGTGAAGATATGCATATTAAAGCTTAGAAGTGATCAATAATGTTGACCTTTTACAAAATGTCACGCTATTGTAGCGTTTGAAATGTAGAGTGTTAGGTTTAAGTCTTAGTGTGACGTTATTATTCACTGGAGATAAAGGTGCATCCATATGAGGCGTCTTAAAAGCAGGGCAGAACAACCGTCCAAGATTCAAATGTCGTCTACTAGCAATCAAATTACCTACCCTGTTAACCTTTTGACATCATAGAAGCTTATAGATCGCGGGGGTAGGGGGAACTGGCATGTTACTAAAGACTGAATATTTCGATCAGTAATAACAATAATCACTTTATTTCAAACAATAATAATTTATTTTACAGAATGGAATTTTCAGCATTTCTAATACATATTGCAATAATTCAACTATTTTTATAAATATGTACATACATGGAATTAAAAACAGTAATTTTCTATAGTTTGGTTTGTAAGGGTTAGTTATGTTTTTTTTATGAATTGATCACGGATTGATGTGAGTTTGAGAACCATTGAAAACTAGCACTGGAGTGCTGGACAGCTGCTTCATACTAGTTTGGGAAGTCGTGACCTCAGTGAGGTCCATCCAGATGTCACGTGTGAGGATGGATATCGCGCCGACGACATTGGTTGGGATAGCGCTAAACCGCTGATTGGTAGAAGTTAGAATTCATGCACTGGCCAGTGAATCGGGTCCCAGTGGCTGAATGGTATGCGAGCTTGTCTTGTAACCGCACAGGTCCTAGGTTCGAATCCCAGTTGATGCGTACTGCTGATGATTTCCAAACTGGGATGAAACAACAGCTGTCCAGTACTCCCTGGTTTTCAAAAGGTTCTCTAACTGATATTAATCTGTGATCAATTCGTAAAAACAGTATTAGTAATACTATTAATAATGAAACCACCACTATACACAGAATGTTAGTGGAAACATAACCTAGTATAAGTAAATAGTGTCATAGATAATACATGTAATAATAATATTAATAATCTTTGCTCCTACTTTGCAGTCCATTGTTACTGATTTAAAAAGTTTGATAAGTTCTCTTCTGACATCTGACTCCCTCCTCATACACAACTATCCGTGCTAAATATGGTGTGGTATGGTAAAATTTTCATATTTAGTAGCAGCACGAATATAAATTCTTATGAAGTTTCTGATGTGGTTTTGTTCTCTGAGCTGGATGGTTAGTTTGAGAAGCTTTCACCACCCTACTGGGTGACATCTTCAGCGCATACTTCAAATATGAAGTTTCTTCTGAAGTGTCACCCTCCGAAGAGATATAAAGAGAAAGCTGTGAAAAAGGCGAGGATGTTTGGTATCAGACAGGATAACTTTAGCCATTTGCTTGCAAGAACTGAAGTGCCTATTGATAATAATGTCAGTTAGTTAGTTAGTTAGTTGGTTACTTAGTTAGTTGAGCTACAGATACACCACTAATCCTACTTTCAATCTTCAGTGTTCTACTTGATATAATACAGTCTTTTTGAGATGTCTGGGGTAGAATAAGTGGGGTTAATAATAAAGAAGAGGAATGGACACAATACATGAATGAATAAACTGTAAGAGAAGAGGTTGAGTCACGCCAGCAGATAGTCTCAACTTCTTTATGTAATAAGTCAAACGAAATTTTTTCTGAGAAACAAATAACATATGAGACGACCAACAGAGGAGATTCGAAGAGAAAATCATGCCGAGATGAAAGAAGGTATTCGATTTACCTCCTGTCATCACAGTGCCGACAATATTACAGAAATCATGGGACAGAAGCAGTCCGTCCACGCGAGTTATGCTCGCGTCTGAAACTAAAATCAACAAGATGACATATAGATGGATTCAGTTGAAGACCATTTAAGTGAAACCGCTTGTTAACTTCAGATAAAAATCTATTCCCATATAAGCATAATCCAAAGGAGAAACTACTAGTAGAACAGAAATGGTGTTAGATCAATGGCATATCTAGCGAAGTTAGCTTTGGAAGAATACGGAAGGTGATGTAAAAAGAAAGTAAACAAAAAAAAGGAATAGATACAGTACAGCACCTTGACGCGCAAAAGTTTTCATTCAAAACAGTATGTTGTTTTCCACATGAAAAATAAGAAAACACCCAGCCATCCTGTCACCCATGACCCAGTATATGCTAAAATCAGCTTGCTTATCAGAGGTGCCCTCCCTTAAAGGTTCAAAAAACACAATTGCGCCTATGTTAAGACATAAAACTATTGTAATGGTTCAGTATAAACCAGTCCATAGAATCTTCTAAATAACTCTTTCTGTGTGACATGATAACATCTAAGCTATACATCCATCGCTGAATATTTCTTTTAGGAAGTAATGCTTCAGTCACACTTTTGGTCACCATTCACTGTTATTTAAAATTGTTCTTTATTAAACGCATTCAGATCATTTAATATGTGTTTTCTAAAACCACGCAAAGATCCTGTTTCAAACAGAATTGAATTTCTTTTTTCAATTGAATTATTAAACAGAGAGGATCATTTTTAGAAAATATACCTAAACCATCGGATTGGAAACCTGTCCCTCAGGTATTTGCTTTCTTTGCATTCTTAACTTATATTTGTCTAACTTATAAAAAAGGGTGAATTACAATATTTTTTCTAGTGTATATATATGGTGTTTTTACGGTTTTGTATTTTCTGTAGAAAGATAGTTTTTTACTCAAGTGTTGGTTTGCAGGGATTAGATTTATTATTGTTCCCTTGGGTTCCTAGTGGAACATACGGCTTCAACTCCACGTCTCCCTCCACTTGCTTCTTTCTTTCTTCTGTTGTACTTTTCACCAGCATCTATGATAGTCAACATTGTTTCAACTCCTCTTTACACCATCTCTTCCATGTCACCCTTGCACTGACGTCCCATTCGCCACTTACCTTTTGGCCTAGTTCCACTCGAGCAACGGCCTGAAGCGCGCGCGATGTCACCCAGTGGCCTCCTCAGCAAGTGTCCAATCCATCATCATCCACTTTCTCCTGCATATTTGTTGGCTCGCGATTGCTTCTTGTTTTGTTTGTTCCCATAGTTGGTGATTCTTTTCGCCCCGGCCATCTGATTGATTTTCAGTATAGAGCCAGTGAAGACAGTTGTTAGTTGATAAAGGTCTGCGACAGGCTGTTGGAAATATTCTTTGTGACCCGCCCGTCGAATTTCTCATCCGTATTGAAGAGCTGACTGACTTGACGTTGTCTGTATTGAAAATTCGACCGAATTTTGTTTTTGATGTGGCTGAGTGACAAACATTTCCACATTGGTTTCAGGTTGATGAATGTGCGTGTTTCTCGCCTTCCCGATTCACGCTCGATTTGACATCCTCGTCCGTTCCGACTTGCTGTAGTTGAGACAATTCTCAATGCTAGATAAGTGAATGAAATAATCTATTTCAAATCCCTCCCGTTGATGGTGATTGGCACTGGATGTTGCTGTTGTTGTTGGTTGGTTGGTTATTTTCATAACCTCCGTCTTGTCTATGTTCACCCGGAGTCCTGTCTTCGCTGGCCGATTCTTCGACCAGTTTGTCAGTTTTCGTTTTTAAGTCTTCGATTGCGTGTGACATCAAACAAAAATCATCCACATGCGAAATCCAGGTCTTCTAGGTCCTTCGTGTCGGTTCAGGATATTCCTGCCTTCTTGCTTCCCACTGTCTGACGCATAGTGCGGTCCACCACAATTAGGAGCTTATGAGAATTCATCATGGGCTGATAACGACTAGAGAACCATTGGAAAACCAACTGGGAGTAGTGGACAACTAGTTGTTTCGTTAGCCTCTTTTGAGATTCATTATCAGCACACACCTAACAGGGAGGAGGGTGAACCCAGGACATTTTAGTTATACAAGACAAGCTTGCTCATAGACCACTAGGCCACTGGGACCCAATCATATGGCCAGCCCAGTTCACGACACAGAGTAACCACTAGCCAATGCCACCGGCGGGTATTTGTCCATACGCTCGTCCGGGTGTACTCCACTCGTGACGACTTCTCACCAGACCTCCAGGCAACTTCTTGTAACTGGAAGGTCCTCTACAAAACTCCCGTGGTGGATGTGTACTGATGAATAGTCCTAAACTAGAAGGAAACAGCTGAGTATCAAGCACTCTCTGGTTTTCTAATAATCTTCTAACCGATGTCAGCTCATGATAAAATCCAGTAAATTATTTTATTCTTCAGAGTAAAACTGAGTTATAAATTAACATAACAAGTCGCTTTGTTTGTCTGTTTGTTATGAATTTGATTTTTGGCAGGTATTGGTGATAAAGTTTAAAGATTACTTCACATAACATTTTATAATCCCTCTAAATACTCTAAATACTGTCTTGGTGGTTCGGTGTTCAGATGCTTGTCACACGCTACACGCTCATGCCATTCTCGATTTTCGATCTAATTACTCTTAAACCTTGCTGAACTTACTACCCAGTATAGGGTGAAAGCTAAGAGTCAGGCTACCAATCTTACTCCATTAAAAAAGAACAATATCTCCAGTACTAAGATTTCAATGCATGAAGCACTATGTTCGACTCGGAATACAGTGGAATGATGATAGAGAAGCGAAACACTGTCTTTTAGAGAAAAAGTTTCTATTAAATTCAGCGAAAATTTGCCTAATTTACGCACTCATTGTACCTGTGTGTGAGCAGGCAAATGATTATACCTGGCTTTTCTTAGCTTGATAGGTTGAATAGGGTTTAATCCTGTGATCTAATAACTGAAAGTCAAGCGCTTACAGTAGTAGACTGGTGCCACAGTTTAAATATAGTCATTAAAGAAATCTGAATTTATTATTATTATTATTTCCATTAATTCCTAGAAGAACATAGAGCTTCAGCAGCGCGTCTCCACTGCGTTCAGTTCTCTCCTAGAGTTTTTGCCTTGCTCCAAGTCTGCCAACATGTTTTCATATCCTCTTCACATCACCTCCTCCAAGTCACTGACGACCAACTCTCCGCTTCCGTTTCTAGTTTCACTCGAGGGTTTGTCTAGCGATGTCACTTGATGGTTTATTTCCTCAGAGTATGGCCAGCCGAACCACTTTCATTTCTTCCCGCTTATTTGTTGCACAATCGGTCGGATATCACCATAGTTAGAATTCGGAAAGCAGGACAAGCTTTCATTACTCTCAAGTCTGTATGTAGGAGATCAACGGCACTCAGTATGAAAAACAAGATCCAGATTTTCAATTCCAATGTGAAGTCAGTGCTACTCGACATACAGATCAGAGACTTAGCTCGTCATGCAGAGCACTTTGAACAAACTACAAACCTTCGTCAATAGCTGTCTTCTCCCAATACTTCGTTCAAGATCAGATGGCCGGTCAGATAAGATCAGCAGTAGTGAAAGGGTCTCTGGCAATGAACGAACAAACCTAGAAGTGACCGATTGTGCAACAAATAAGCAGGAAGAAATGGAGGTGGATTGGCTCGCCACACTCTGAAAAAACAAAGTGTCAGTTGAGTGACATCACACGTCAAGTCACTGCTTTGTTGGAACCTGAATGGGAAGTGGTAAGTCAGTCATCCAAGGGTGACTTGGACGAAGTGATGTGAAGAGGAGATGAAAGAATGTGGGCAGACGTGGAGTCAGGTGAAAACATTGTTGGGAAAGCGAACGCAATGGAGAGGTGCTGCTCAATCCTTCTATTCCTCTAGGAACTGAAGGAGACAATATTAACAATATAATTAGCAGAAATGTGCAGAAAAAAAATGGTGACATGGGAAGAAACAGAAAGATATGATGTACCTGAGAGACTTTAAAGACTTATTTCCCAATGAATCAGAGAGGATAAATTTCAGCCACCTCTAGCCATTAGTCTGTATCTCCCTAAGTGCCTCCAAACCAACATTTAAGAACTCCGCGGATTGATTTCGTAACCCCTAACTCTTTTCCAACTTACTTGAGATAAAAGGTGAAAACTTGTGGTCAGGGCTACCTAGTTTTTTATATCTATTTTCAGCGGCCAATTCTTACAACCGGAAAGGAGAACAGAGAGAAATGTTGAGCAGTATACACGTCCTTTAGGATGTAAAATCGAGAATCGGAAATGCGAGCGAGAAACACATTCATCAACCTGAAACCAATCTGGAAATCTTCGTCAATCAGCCAGCATCAACAACAAAATTCAGTCGGATTTTCAATACAAACATCGTCAAGTCAGTCAGTTCTTTTATACGAATCAGAAACTTGGAGAGCGGGTCACAAAGAATATTTCCAACAGTCTGTTGCAGACCTTTATCAACCAACAACTTTCTTCGCTGCCTCTATACTGAAGATGAGATGGCCGGGCTGGAAGGAATCACTAAAAAGAGACTATGGGAACAAACAAACAAAACAAGAACCAATCGCCAACCATAAATATGCAGGAGAAAGTGGGTTGAGATTGATTAGACATCCGCTAAGGAGGCGGCTGGGTGACATCGCGCGCGTGTCAGGCGATTGCTCGAGTGGAACTAGGCCGAAATGGATGCAACAATTGTGACGTCAGTAGAAGGGTGACATGGAGGAGATGGTGTGAAGAGGAGTTGAAAGAGTATAGACAAACATGGATGCAGGCAAAAAGTACAGCAGGAGACATAAGTGGCAAGTGGAGAAGTGTATTTGAAGCCGTATGTTCCACTAGGAACCCAAGGGAACAATAATAATCATATACGTCTTTTGGTCGATAACTGGATATTGCATCTACGCCACAAGCATCACAAGCCTTTTCATATGCGTCCTGAAATTTCTTCACCAGTCAGTCTATTAAGGCTGATACAACCTCCTAAATAAAATTAAAGTGGTCAACATACTCTACCAATTCACTCCCTCTCTTCAAACCTGGAGTAGGTGCACAGTCTAGTCATTCACCATCATCTTACATTTGACAGCAGGAGTGAGTAGCATGCCAAACATTCGAAGACTACTCATCCCCTAGGTGACTCTAGAAGACTCTTCACTTTGTCAGCTTCTTCACTTAGGAGAAAAAAATATCACTCACACACTAACAGTTAGAACGAAAGTTCTTGGATAACAAGTCAATCGCTTAGTCGCTGAAGTCATTTATCATCAATTCCGTTGGTATACCTATTATATCATTAAACAAAATCTAGATAGTAGATATACTTGATATGTAGTGCTTGTTGTAATCACTTCAAATGACAATTCTCCACAACCCCTTACCTGTTCCAATGAGTGTGAGTGAGTCAAAATACCTTGTTTATTGTGCTGTGCCTTCGCCGCATTCCCTTCATGACCAAACATTGTCATAGTGTTACAGCAGAAGAACACAAGACACAGAAGCCAAGGTATATTTTCTTCAAGTGATCAAACAGTTATTTAATGTATGCACAGTTTTTATTCTTTAACCAATCACTGAGCTTGTGATTTTGGTTTACATCAAACGACATGAAATAGCATTTTCAGATAAATACGTTATTCTTTTGTTAATGCAGTAAGTACTGAACGGTGGGAAAGTATTCTGACCCTATCAATAGGTAGAATGTTCGAATTATTATTGTTATTGTATCCTTTAGTTCCTAGAGGAAAATAGGGCTTCAGC